AAAAAAGAATTGAAAAAGAAATTTGTTATTTGGAACATACGGTTAACACCATGTCTCTGTTGAGGCAACCAACCCCATTTCTCTTTTGCCAGTGACTATGTGATTTATTGTCCAAATTGGGATACCTTTTAGAGTGAGGGAGGTGCTAAAAAACCCTAAATAATAAAAATATCAAAATTAATATTTATTTTTTCCTGTGTTTCCCACTGGCCTCATTTTCTATCCAACAGCACCTCTGGCAATTCCAGGTGTGGTTCTTTGTATCACTGGAGGCTGGGCAAACACGGTGACTCAGGAATGAGAAGCAAAAGGCACTGAAGTTGGTATTGGTGAGAGGACCAAGTAAAGGTGATTTCAGGCAACCTTTCCCCACTATTACCTTGCTTACAATATCCCTGGGCAGCTGTTGTGATTTTATTTTTCATGGCATGGTTTGTACAGCACAGGCTTTGCTTCTCTCCCCCGGCACCAGCTTGCATGGCATTAGCTTTACTGTGCAAGTTGATGCTGTGAGACAGAATTGGAGCCAGTGATGTGCAAGCCAGCACTATGGGAGAGAAGCCAGTGCTGCGGGAAAGGGTGCCTAGGATCCCAAAATCTGGGATAAATGTAACACAGCAAGGACATCTTTAGCATCTGTTTTTTTGCCTTAGTTGGCAAAGTTGCTATGAGAAAAGGTTGTGGTGGTGCAGTGGTTATAATGCAGTATTGCAGGCTAATTCTGCTGACTGCCGATTGCCAGTAGTTCGATCCTGACCGGCTCAAGGTTGACTCAACCTTCCATTCTTCCAACGTCGGTAAAATGAGGATCCAGATTGTTGGAGGCAATATGCTGATTTTGTAAACCGCTTAGAGAGGGCTGTAAAGCACTGTGAAGTGGTATATAAGTCTAAGTGCTATTGCTAGTGCTATTGTTTATGAAATGGAAGCTTGCAGTGAGTACTCATCAGCCTGCTTTAAGCAATGCCGTGTGATTGAATTATTTACTGCTGAACAGTCCCTCCAATTCAAATTCAAATGGCTTAGGACCGGGGTATATACGAGACCGCCTGCTGCCAGCAACAGCCTCCCACCGGCCAATACGCTCCCACAGAGAGGGGCTCCTCAGGGTGCCGTCAGCCAGACAATGCCGACTGGCGACACCCAGGGGGAGAGCCTTCTCTGTGGGGGCACCAGCCCTCTGGAATGAGCTGCCTCTTGAGATTCGTCTCATCCCCGACCTGCGTACCTTTCGCCGCGCCTTAAAGATCCTCTTGTTCCAACAAGCCGGCCTGCCTAATACGAATTTTAGAATGGGTGTATGTGTGTTTTAATCTATGGGCCAAATTTTTATATATTCAATTTTAAATTGTTTTAAATTTTGTATATTTATATGTGTTGTAATATGGCTGTACACCGCCCTGAGTCCTTCGGGAGAAGGGCAGTATAGAAATCTAATAAATCAAATCAAATCAAATCAAATTAACCATTAAATGTGAGTTGGTTATGTGATGGTTGAGGTGACATGAGTACGGTGTGTCACTGAGCCAAAAAAAATATGTAAAGATGATAAACCGGTTAAGAACTGATTTGACTGACCAAGAATGAAGTAGATGACCTGGGACAGCAATCACATGGGAAAGGTTGATGAACTGATTAAGGACAACTGGTGGATCACTTAAAAAGAAATTGTTGTCAACAATTGTTGGCAATTCTCATGTGGGATCACACTATTGATGTTCTTCAATATTGGAAGCTTTATGCTGCTGACAGCAGAGATGAAAGCTTCAAGAGTTGAAATTTGCCCACAATTGTTTTCACACTACAAGAATGTAGGGGAGGAATTTCTTCAAAGCATTATGACACCTAACGAAACACAGACTCATCATTGTGACTCAGAAATGAAGTGTCAGTCCACGGAACATTATCATAAAGCTTTATCTGCAGGGGACAAAATAATCAAAACCCAGGCTTTACAGAAATGTTCATGGCTACAGATATTTGAGGCATAAATGGGTTATTCCATTTATCTCCTTGAGCCTGGCACCTCTATCACTTCAGAGCACTATAATACAACACTCAAAGCAACAATTAAACAGTGTCTGGAAGCAAAAGAAGAACATTTTGATGCCACATGACAGCGCTAGGCCTCATAGCACTGTGCCATTCAAGAAGCCATTGCAAAGTTGAACATTGCCATCTTACTCCATCCAATACACAGTCCAAATTTTGTTCCATGTGATTTCTACATTTTTTTCGTGTGTACTTTTGTGGAATCTGTTTCACTATAACTGAGTTAATGTTGTAAGCTAGAGTCACCTTGTGGTGAGATGGGCAGTGAACAAGTTTAATAAATAAAAATTAATCAATAAAATAAATTAATACTGAAAGAACTGACATTATCTAGTTGAAGGGACAGAGTATGAAGTTCTTTCCCAATGGCTTGAAAAAGCTTGCCCATCATTGGCAGAAGGGGTGCAAAAAGTGATAGGCAATATGTAGAGAAGTCCATACAGGTTACATGGAGGTGGAGGAATTATTTTTCATTCAGTGCTTACATATTTATTTGTCTATATATGCTTGCAAGTCAAGACTCTCAAAAACAATTTCAGTCAGTCATTGCTCAGTCTGAGATAGCCAATAAGAGTGAACGCTAGCAAATTGGACATAAATAGGAGCAAATAGAAAATAGGAGTGAAGAAGGAGTATTAGGTATGTTTGCCTTCTTGAGTTCTTTATAAAAAAATAATAAAGGCGAGATATAAGTAAATAAAATAATCAGTGCTTTCTTTATCAGTTTCAATTGCTAAGCATGCCGCCCTCAGAAATTCTGGTGGTTAATGAATTAACAAACCATTTCCCCCTCACTCATAAAAATATAAATGTGTTTCTGTACCCTGTTACTCAACCCATTTGTTCTCAGGTGTTAGTGTCTACATAGTGATTTACAAAATAGTCTTGTTAATATCTGGGAGGTTGGAAGAGAATTTTAACAAAAGCACTGAGAACCCTCCACAGTTTTCTGTTCATCGTGGTGCTGTATCGGTATTATAGAGAGAAGGTGTGTAGGTGACATACTAATGTTCTGTGAAATGTGTTATCCCAGAAAATCTTGAAAGTGTTTTATAGCACCAAATCCTATGAGAATGGCAAAATTACATTTTTCTCCTAGCTGGACTAAATGAAACACTAGCTAGATGGAGGGCCTGGATAATGGGAAAACAAGGAGCCCCAAATACAAGGTGAACTTGTTGGAATATGAATTTCATTGGTCTCTGGAGTGAGGAAGAGAATATGCAAAGGGATTTGCAAGGATAGTGAAATCCTGAAACACGGAGGTTTGCAATGCGTTAATGGTGATTTGCAGACATCATGCAAGCTATGTCTATGTGTACAGCCAAAGCAACATTTTTTAAAAAATAGTCCTTGGCAATGCTCCATAGCAGTGGTTCTCGACCTTTTTTTTTTTTTTTGTTCATCATGGACCCCCTTTAAACATATTTAGCCACAAACCATGGCCAGGAAACCCCAAGACAATTCAAGATTTAAATCATAATGTTTTTATTTATTTATTTATTTATTTATTTATTTATTTATTTATTTATTTATTTATTTATTTATTTAATTTTTATACCGCCCCCTCTCCCGAAGGACTCGGGGCGGTGAACAGCCAAAATTAAAAACACACAATACAAATATTAAAATACATTAAAACAAAATTAAATTATCTTTGGCTTCTCCAATTTAAAACCCCTTGCCCATAAAATTCCCCAATTAAAAGATTTTTAACCCAGCCCGGCTTGCTGAAATAAAAAAGTCTTCAGGGCCCGGCGGAAGGTCCGGAGGTCCGGGATTAGTCGTATCCCTGGGGGTAGCTCATTCCAGAGGGCGGGTGCCCCCACAGAGAAGGCTCTTCCCCGGGGGGTCGCCAGCCGACATTGCCTGACAGACGGCACCCTGAGGAGGCCCTCTCTGTGGGAGCGTGTTGGCCGGTGGGAGGTTATCGGAGGCAGAAGGTGGTCTCATAAGTAACCGGGTCCTAAGCCATGGAGCGCTTTGAAGATGAGAACCAACACCTTGAAGCGCACTCGGAAGACCACTGGAAGCCAATACAGCTCGCGCAGGAGAGGTGTCACGTGGGAGCGCCATGTCGCCCCCATAAGTACCCGCGCGGCCACATTCTGCACCAGTTGGAGCCTCCGAGTGCTCCTCAAGGGGAGCCCCATGTAGAGAGCGTTGCAGTAGTCGAGGCGGGAAGTGACGAGGGCATGAGTGACCGTGCATAAGGAGTCCCGATCCAGAAAGGGGCGCAACTAGCGTATCAGGCGAACCTGATAGAAAGCCTCCCTGGCCATGGCCGTCATATGCTCTTCTAAAGACAGCCGTGCGTCCAGGAGGACACCCAAGTTACGCACCCTCTCCGTGGGGGCCAATGTCTCGCCCCCAATAGTCAGCAATGGCACCAACTGACTATATCGGGACGCCGGCAGCCACAGCCACTCAGTCTTGGAGGGGTTGAGTCGGAGCCTGTTCCTCCCCATTTAGACCCGCACGGCCTCCAGGCACCGGGACATCACTTCAAGGGCATCGTTGGTGTGGTCTGGGGTGGAGATGTACAGCTGGGTGTCATCAGCGTACAGATGGCACTGCACCCCAAAACCACAGATGATCTCGCCCAGCGGCTTCACATAAATGTTGAACAGGAGAGGCGAGAGGACCGACCCTTGTGGCAAGACTTCATGGACCCACTGTCACAATATCATGGCACCCCAAAGTCTGTGGACCACAAGTTGAGAACCACTGTTCTATAGTATAATGAAGCTTTGCCCCTTCAGAAATTGTGAATTACAATTCCCAATAGTGAACCAATGGTGAGGGATACTGGAAGTGGCTTTCAGCAACAGGTCCCTGCAACCCCTATAGACCCACAGTTTCCCTGCAATCCCTATAGCATATGGTTATGGCCCCTCCTCAAGTACTGAAGCATTTCCCAATTCCCATTGATTAACTCATTTTCTTACCTCTTTGATTTCCATTGTCTTTCCTTTAGTTTCCCTGTCTTTTCATCTCTCCATATCAAGGTAGGGAAATCTAATATTCCCCCTGACTATAATTTCTAGCACAATTCAACCAACATGGCCAATGGTGAAGGATGTTTAGAACTTTGGTTCAGTGGTATCTGGAAGGACAAAGATTACTAGCTGTGCTCTGTATCTGGTATCTCTTCCCTAACATTAACTGCATTGTTTTATGTTAATTTTTTTTTTCTTAAATCCTGGCCAAATTGCCAGATTTTCTTCGCTTAGAGAAGCTAGCCGCAAATTCCTTTGTTCCGTGTTTCACTTGATGAAACATCGCACTAGCTCAGGCAGTATTGGTAGTTTTGCCATGAAAACATAATACAGAGAAATCATAGCCTTTTCCAGCATGCATTACAAATGGCTTTATGATCTCGCTTCCCAATCCATTCACAAGCTAAGTTAGGTGAAGAGGAAGTAATGACTTGCTCAAGGACACCTGTGAGCTTTATTGAATGGAAAATGGAAATATGATATGAGCCATTTTGATATCTAAATCGAAATGGCCATTTCACTGGTTTGTCTGCATTTATTTCTAATTCTGTTCCCTTCTATTCACTAATTCCATCACTGAACTGACAACATAATTCAAGAGTTCAGGGAGAGCCTGGGATAATTAGTTGCTCTCCTGAAGTAAAATATTTAATGGTACTTCTCATAGTTTGGAAATAAACAAAAGGTTGACAAATTGATGGATCACATGCTGCATCACTCTACTATCTACCCTAGAGTCATTCTAGTGAATCTAATTTTCTCTTTTATCTGCTCCAGTCATAGAATCAGAGAACATAAGGTTTGAAAAGGATCCTGTTTCCAAAACAGAGCTAATCTAATGCTCCCCTGGTCACATCATACCTGGAATACAATGTTCAGTTCTGGTCATTCCAGTGCAAGACATTTTGCTGAGGGCTGCAATAAAAAGAGAAGAGCAGTGAAGATGACGAAGGCTTGGAGGTTATGAAGGAACTATGAATGTTTAGCCTAAAGAAGGTTGAGGGGAGACAGGAGAGCAGTTTTCAAATTCTTGAAGATCTGTCAGAGGAATAACAGTATAACAGGATAACAGAGTTGGAAGGGACATTGGAGGTCTTCTAATCCAACCCTCTGCTCAAGCAGGAAACATTTATACCATTTCAAACAAATGGTTGTCCAATCTCTTCTTAAAACCTCCATTGTTGGAACATCCACAACTTCTGGAGGCAAGTTTATGATTAATTATTATGTCAGGAAATTTCTCCTTTGTTTCAGGTTGCTTCTCTCCCAGGGGTGAAATGCTCCCGGTTCGGGCCAGATCGCCCGATCCGGTAGTGATGGTGGCGGGTAATTCGGAGAACCGGTAGCAAAAATCCCTGCCCCCCACATGCCCAGCTGAGCTGCGCGATCATTAGAGGCTTTTTTTAAAATTTTTAAAAGCATTTTTTCTACAACCTCTTCAGCTGAAAAAATGCTTTTAAAAGTAAAAAAAAAGCCTCTGATAATTGCGCGGCTCAACTGGGATCGTCAGAGGCTTTTAAAAGCATTTTTTTTTTTACAACCTCTAAAGATGATTAGGGGACTGGAGGATAAAACAAACCAAGAACGGTTGCAGGAATTGGGTAAGTCTAGCTTAATGACAAGAAGAACTAGGGCTGATATAATAGCAGTGTTCTAATATCTAAGGGGCTGCCACAAAGAAGAGGGGGTCTCCAAATCACCTGAAGGCAGGACAAGAAGCAATGGATGGAAACTAATTAAGGAGAGAATAGTGGTGAAATGTAAAATTTGTTACTACCGGTTCTGTGGGCATGGCTTGGTGCGGGTTAATGTGACTAGGTGAGCGTGACCAACTTTAAAAAAAAAACTTTTAAAAGCATTTTTTCTACAACCTCTTTGGTCGAAGAGGTTGTTAAAAAATGCTTTTAAAAGCCTCTGATGATCAGGCAACTCAGCTGGGATCGTCAGAGCCTTTTAAAAGAAAAAAAGCCTCTGCCGATCAGGCAACTCAGCTGGGATCGTCAGAGGCTTTTAAAAGCATTTTTTCTACAACCTCTTCAGCCAAAGAGGTTGTAGAAAAAATGCTTTTAAAAGTTTTTTTTAAAAAAAAGTTGGTCACACCCACCCAGTCACATTAACCCCCACCAAGCCAGAACCGGTAGTAACAAATTTTACATTTCACCACTGTTCTCGCCTCAATTAGTTTCCATCCATTGCTTCTTGTCCTGCCTTCAGGTGATTTGGAGACCCCTCTTCTTTGTGGCAGCCCCTTAGATATTAGAACACTGCTATTATATCAGCCCTAGTTCTTCTTGTCATTAAGCTAGACTTACCCAATTCCTGCAACCGTTCTTTGTTTTATCCTCCAGTCCCCTAATCATCTTTCTTGCTCTTCTCTGCACTCTTTCTAGAGTCCCAATGTCTTTTTTTTTTTTTAATATTGTGGTAACCAAAATTGCAATGTTCCAAGCGTGGTCTTACCAAGGCATTATAAAAATGGCATTAACGCTTCACGTGGTCTTGATTCTATCCTTCTATTAATGCAGCCTAGGATTGCATTGGCTTTTTTCGCAGGGAACGAGAGCATTAATTTATTCTCCATAATTCTCAAGAGTAGGACTAGAAACCACAGGTGGATGTTTTACACAGAGAGCGATCCCCAAAATAAGGAAGAAATTCCTGACTGTGAGAGTTACAAAGCAGAGGAACAATTCGCTTTGTGGAGTTGTGGGTGCTTAATTGTGGGAAGTTTTTATCACAAGATTAGATAGCCATTTGTCTAGGATGGTCTGGGGATTCCTGACCCAGGCAAGGGATTAGACTTGAAGATTTCCAAGGTCTCTCTAATTTTAGGATTTTATAAATCTATCCAATTGCTACAGCCTAGGAAATCCAATAAATTTTGATTTTGCTCTGAGCTAGTGACAACAGGATCTTTATTTTTTTAAAAAAACCCAAAATGATTCTGCCCTGGCATCATTTGGGTACCACTAGGGGTAATATAAAAATTAGATTAGGCCTTCATAAGCCAATAAACCTCTTAGGGCCACTATGATGATAAAGCCAATGGAAATCCATTTTAGCAAAGGGACCTATTGAACATAACATCCCCCTGCTTCATCCAAGCTTACATTTTCCATTTGATTACACTGCATTTACTAACAGTAGCAAGTGGAGGAGATGTTATCATCTCAAAATTCAAGTAAGAAGAAAATTCAAACATATTTTGGCCCATTTTTTCTAATGATCCAGAAGTAAAGTCAAATATGTCTTGAATGAAGCTTAGCTTCTGTGGATTTCAAGGGACATCTGTGTTATTTTCTTGGGAGCAATGCAGAAATAATTGGCCCTTTCTATCTTTTATTTAGAGTGCTTTTTCAACTTTCCAGTCTCACCCATAGTCCTGAAATTTCCTTCTGGTTTTCCATCTGAGTACAATCAGGTCCCCAGATTTAATTGTCGCGGATTAGCTAGTTAAGTACTGGAATTGTAAGGAAACATACTCATTGTTTCAATCTCTGTGAGAGCTAGAAATACTGTAAAACCATTGTTTTAGTTTCATATTCATATTCCCTTGCATCACAGCTCCGTTCCTTTTCAGAGTCAAAAGAAAATTTTGCGAGAATTATGACAGCCTCTCTCAAACTTTAAGCTTCTAGTTGTGTGGGATTGCAACTCCCATCATTCCCAGTTAGCCAGACCAACTCTTCAGCTGACCAAGATGGAGGCCGCTTAGAAATTTAGCACGTCTGTAGATTGTGAGTTGAGAAAAATGGCATTAGATTCTGCAGTCTCTACTAGCAACTGCTAGCTTGCCATTAACTAAGGAAAGGTTTGTTTCTATCCAAGCAATCAAGCAGAAAGGGGAAAACACAGACATATGCACGCACGTATCATATATATAAACCGTGAAGGTTGATGGCCCCATCAGTTATAAATGTCACCTCCGCCTGGTGTGAAATGTAGGGGCCCAGAAGCAAACATACCTGTGTTTTGTTTGTATGAAAAATAAAATTGATTGCCGACTGGCATATGGTGAAGAGACATGCATTTTGTCAGTCTTGGCAAATAGCTGCAGTTCAGCCCTGCAAGGGGTATGAAGAAGCGTAGTCGTGAAAATTGTACATATTTGAAAGGCTAGCATCGGAATCTGAGCTTATAATGGGTCTCTCTAGTGCAAGGAAGATGGGACGAGGTTCTCTCCTTCCTCAGAAGGCAAGCCTGGGATTTTATCATAATGGGCAGCTTAGCTACTTAGATCGAAAGATATATATGGGTCTCCCAGGAAAACTACTGATCTTCCTATCTTTCCTCTCTCCCACCCCACCCCTTCACCCCCCGGTTTAGGAAAAACAAATAAGAAAATTAATTGCAAAGCAATGGCGTTTTGAAAAACCCTGCCAGCCACTCAGATGAGCTTTGATAGGCTGGGCCCCCAATGCACAAAAGGATCTTTCAAAGGTGTGGGAAGAAGAATGCCATTCTTAGTTAGGAGTAATCCTGATGTTTTGAGCCACAGCTGTGGTGGCGCAGTGATTAGAATGCAGTATTACAGGTTAGTTCTGCCAACTGCCAGGGGTTCGATTCTCACCGGCTCAAGGTTGACTCAGCCTTCCATGGTCAATAAAATGAGAACTCAGGCTGTTGGGGCCAATATGCTGATTCTGTAAACGTCTTAGAGAAGGCTGTAAGGCACTATGAAGCACTACTGCTATTCTGAGTGTATGGCTCACAAGAGCTCCGATTCTTCAGCTTACCCTCCCACTTTCCAGGCTAATGCCACTGACTTCCTTACATTCAACCCTGTTGGTGTCTGGTCTGTTAAGAGTTCCCAAATTCAAAGATTGTCTAATTGCCCTTGCTTTATGTGGCCTTCCTATTGTACATCCCATTCATTCGCAATCTAAGGCCATCTAGCTGGGTTGAACTGTCCGTCATCCCCAGCCAATATTACCAGCTCCTGAAATGAGTTGATAAGAGCTACTGTTGGATGTACAGGTAGTCCTCGACTTACGGCCATAATTGAGCCCAGCATTTCTGTTGTTAAGTGAAACACTTGTTAAGTGACTTTTGCCCCATTGTACGACTTTTCTTGTCGCGGTTCTTAAGTGAATCACTTCACTTCAGTTAGTAACACGGTTGTTAAGTGAATCTTAAGCTTCCCCATTGACTCTGCTTGTCAGAAGGTCACAGAAGGTGGTCACGTCAACCCAGGACACTGCAGCCGTCATAAATATGAACCAGTTGCCAAGCTTCTGAATCACGTGACCACAGGGATGCTGCAACGGTCGTAAGTGTGAAAAACGGTCATAAGACACTTTTTTCAATCCCTTGGTAACTGCGAACAGCCACTAAATGAACTGTTGCAAGGTAAGGACTACCTGTATTGGAAAGGCTGGAGTAAGGTGCTAGAAATATCTCCAGAGCCATTTTGTCAGCCCTCTCATTTCCTCCCTTCAGAGTCATGGGGCAAAACCACTGACCCCAAAGAAGCATCTGTGAGACAAAGCATTATCCTAATTCCTTCTCAACTGGCCTTCCTCTTCAGGGAGAATATGCCCTTTTTCCCTTGAACACAAGGAAATTCTCAGCCCTGTTCTGGCCTTCCTCAGCACATCTGAACCATCGACAGCCAAACAAGCCATGGTCCCAGTTTTGGCTGCTCCAGATCATGGAGCAGGAAGAGGGGTGGGGAGAAGCGGGGTACGATCAATGAAGTCCAAGGGATGAGCTCTATAACTCATCTGCAAACGCTGGTCTGAAAGATTCGAATCAGGGGTGAAATCCAACAGGTTCTGACAGGTTCTGGAGAACCGGTAGCGGAAATTTTGAGCAGTTCAGAGAACCGGTAGCGGAAATTTTGAGCAGTTCGGAGAACCGGTAGTGGAAATTTTGAGCAGTTCGGAGAACCGGTAGCGGAAATTTTGAGCAGTTCGGAGAACCGGTAGTGGAAATTTTGAGTAGTTCAGAGAATCGGCAAATACCACTTCTGGCCGGCCCCAGGGGTGGGGTGGGAATGGATATTTTGCAGTATCCTTCCCCTGCCACGCCCACCAAGCCACACCACGCCCACAGAACCGGCAGTAAAAAAAATTGGATTTCACCACTGATTCAAATCCCCAGCACTTTTGGCTTACAAGAACGGAGCCGCCCCCCCCCACTCGCCTCCTCTCTCCTGCAATCCTATAACATTCCCCCCCCAAACAGACCCGACACCCCTATTCTCCCGCAGGCAACCGCGCACAAGTTCAAATCCGCGATTACTTTTCTCTCTGGCTTAGTTCAGGTGACTTTTAACTCCTCTTCGCATTTACTCGGGATCCTACGACTCCCCCCGTCTCTTTCTCTCGTTCACGTCCCACCAACCTTTTCTCCCCCCCCCCCGCCCACAAAAAAAAAAGAGGAAAAAAAAGGCGGAGGCCTTACAGGCGGGACCACCCCTCCTTCCTTCCCGTCCTGGAGGAGGCGGGGGCAGGCGCGTCTGGGATGCGCCGGGCCGGCGGGACAAAGTGTGGCAGCTTCAAAAGCCGTCGAGCCGAGGGGGACTCCCCAAAGCCTCGCAAGCGCGGCCCTTGAGAAGGAAGGACGCACCGTTGAGGAACATGCCCCTTCGACTGCGACAACTCACGCGGTTTCCAACAGTGAGTCCTTTCTCTCTCCTGTCTTCCTTGCCCGGCTTTGGAGTCCTCCACATCCTGTAACTAGAAGGGTCCCTGGATCCCATTTCTCCTTCCTAATCCCCAGATTCTTAGTTCTGTTCCAAAGCTCTCTTTTTTTTCTCTCTGGTCCCATCAAAGAACTTCCTTTCCTTCTCCCGTCCAGGCCGTTTCCTTGACTTGCTGCAGACATGAAGTTTAACAGGTGGTTCTTTCTTCTGGGAGGATGGGAGAGGGGAGGAAAAGGAGGACCCCAGTTGAGGAGAAGGATGTATAGGTGCCCAAGCAGAAGAAAAGCGGTGAAATTTCACCCATTTTAGCAGGCAGGCGTCCCTTTCCCACCCACATTTCCAGCCTCCCCAATTCTCCACACAAATTCAGGGGAGCTGTCAAACTCTTTGGTTAAGGATCCTGGCTGTGCTTCATGGGCTTCACTGCTTCTCTTTTCAAAGGAAGCAGCCCCATTCATAGGAAAGTCAAAGAGTCTTAAAAACCCTAATCCTATTCCCCCCCCCACTCCCCCACCCCGTAATAGGATCAAAAATGAAATATAAAGCTAACTAACACATCACAAGCGTAATATTCCTTCCCTAGTTGTTGCTTTTGAATAACTGTATATAAAAACGTTCTCTTGTATTTTTTCTGTTGTTCTTGACAAGTTTTGTTTTTGCGCTCTCTCTCTCTCTCTCTCTCTATATATATATAGAGAGAGAGGGGGGGGGGGGGGGAGGGGAGAGGGGGTTTTTTTTTTTATGGCCTTTTTGTATATTTCTCATTAGGCAGGGTTACGTAGGAAGAACCTGGCTAAAGAGAAATACGTATGTGTGTGTGTGTGTATGTGTGTATTTTTCTTCAACCAGGTATTTTCCTACGTAACCAAGTTTGCAGCCATAGCTCAGTGAAATCACATGCACTATCTTCAGACAGACAGCCTAGGATAATGGATGTGATTTCACTGAGCTATGGCTGCAAACTTGGTTATGTAGGAAAATACCCGGTTGAAGAAAAATGCACACAAAACGATAACACTACAATAAAAGAAGAAAGCAAATTATATATATATATATATTTATAAGGAAGCAAAGGTGGAATTGCTCCACAATGTCTTATAATTTTCACTTGAGACTTTCAAGAAAAGATTGGACTCCCATTTGTCAGAAATTGTCTAGGGTCTCCTGCTTGAGCGGGGGGGGGGGTTGGACTAGATGACCTATAAGGTCCCTTCCAACTCTTTTAATCTATTAATTTGGAGCACAATTGGTCACTTTTTCTGGGAGCACTGAATACATGGTAGGAAACTTCATGGCTTTTTATTATTGCTTTTTAATATTGTAATTCATATTTTCATCCTTAAAAAGAATCCCAAAGCAGGATAGTTCCACTTCTTGCCTATATTTTTACTTTACCCAAATTTTTCTTGGTGGGAACATTACAGAGATATTCTCATACATGATTTTGACAATTTGACTATACATACAAATAATATTAGGGTAGACAACATGTAAAAATAACGGCCATTCTTCTTTATTTATTTGTCAGATCACAAACTTTATGACAACATAATATTTTTGTCATGGAAGTTAAAATTAGTGTGTATATGAATGCAGTTCTGTCCATTTTATTATATGGAAGTGAAAGTTTGGTGTGTCAGGAAAAACACAGAAGTTGAATCTAGTGGGAATGAGATATTTAAGGCTTGCATGTGCTATGCAGCAAGGGAAATGGGGCCAGAAATGAATGGGTGATGAATGGTAGCAGATTGAATGCGAGAGTGGGTGACTGGTGCGAAAGAAGCAGCATGAAAGAACGCTTAAGGCTAAAATTTAACCTTCTTGACTTTCCCTAAATTCAAGATAATGCAACAAGCAATTATTCTGAGAAAATAAATATCTACATTTTTCCTTTAAAGTATATTTAATAATACAGAGTAGAGTAGGGTAGAGTAGAGAGTAGAGTAGAGTAGAGTAGAGTAGGAATAGGAATAGGAATAGGAATAGGAATAGGAATAGGAATAGGAATAGGAATAGGAATAGAATAGAATAGAATAGAATAGAATAGAATAGAATAGAACAGAACAGAACAGAACAGAACAGAACAGAACAGAACAGAACAGAATTCTCTTTATTGGCCAAGTGTGATTAGACACACAAGGAATTTGGAATCAACATTCTCAAAAAGACAGTAAACAGAAAGAATGTGTGCATATGTCACATGTGGCTAAACTATAGATCTGGGTAATTGTTTGAAACATAGTGTGTAGAATCAGTGAGGTAGCATGAAATAAAGTACACAAGTTCCAGTAAAATAATTATACAAAGGCAAGTTGGCCACATAGAAACACCTAAACCAAATCTAGACCTCTCGCGTATTTTTCTAATACACTGTCCATTTTCTAACTCCTTTGCAGAAGGTCAGGGGTGGGGAACTTGAGGGTCTCCAGATGTTGTTGGACTACAATTCCAATAATCTCAGATGATTGAAGATGTACAGTAATTAAGGCAATGGGAATTTGCAGGTTGAATATGGTGGTCTAGGAATTGTTTCTCATTTAATGTCCTTTATGCTGTTAGGGATGCTGTGGCTCAGTGGCTAAGACGCTGAGCTTGTCAATCGAAAAGTCGGCAGTTCAGTGGTTCGAATCCCTAGTGCAGCATAACACGGTGAGCTCCCGTTACTTGCCCCAGCTTCTGCCAACCTAGCAGTTCGAAAGCACGTAAAAAATGCAAGTAGAAAAATAGAGACCACCTTTGGTGGGAAGGTAACAGCGTTCTGTGCAGCTTTGGTGTTTAGTCATGCCGGCCACATGACCACGGAGACAGCTTCAGACAGTGCTGGCTCTTCGGCTTTGAAACGGAGATTACCACCACTCCCACATATGTGCAAGGGGAACCTTTACCTTACCTATGCTGTTAGAGTCATAACACAGTGTGTTTCCTTTTTCATAGCAATAGTATAATATATGAAACCAGCTATTATGGATAATTCAATGATTTTTTTGGGAGGGGTACTCTGAAAGTTAACCAGTTTAGGCCAAAAACTTAACTTAACTTAAACCAAGCCAATTAGTATTTAGTAAATAGATTATTGTGTATCTACTGATCCTCTTCTGACACATTCAAAGCTACAAGGCTATTTTAAGGGGCTCTGGGATCTGCAACCAAAACTTAGAAACATCATGCACTTTGCCCTAAATTCTAATTCTCCCTGCTCAAACTCCCTACTCTCTTCTCAATTCTTGGTCCGTGTCCATGTAAATAAAAATAAAAATATAAAGAGGAAGTGGCCTGCCTTTGTCATCTTCTGAGATTGACTTCCCAGTCTAACCAACCTCCCTGGGAGAATAGTCCATGTATTGCTCCAAGAGGTGCTACCAGGAAGGAAAAGAGGCTGTAAGTAACATTTGGCTCTTTTTCCTTGCCTGAGTTTTCAAGTGACAGTTCTGTAAAAAGACAGAGGGGGGTAAAAACATTGGCATCCCTAGCTTCTTTATCCGAAACCTTCAGCTGGACAATTTTCTAGGATTTTGTGAGAAAGAACCTCCTTTGGCTACTGGATTTCATGTTGATCCAAAGAACAGTACTGATCATCTCATCCCTTAAGTATAACCTGGCAGGATTCAGAACAGCTGCTAATTCTCTCTGTGTCTTTCCAAAGACTATTTATTTATTTACTTATTTGATGGCCCAGATCTTAGAACTCTTTGCTGCCTGCCTCCACCTGGATGGAAGCTTGTGTATATTTAATGCTGCATACTTTGTTCCCTAACCCTAGACATCTGCAGCTGGCGTGCACACACAATTGGCAAGAGGGGAGATTTGATGTGTTATTTACCTTGTTATATCTGATGCCTCTAAGGGGTTTTACTACACGCCAGAAATAAATCAACACACAGCAGGTTTTTAGCCTCCTGCTCACACACATCAGCCTTCCCACTTTAAAAACCAGTTTAGGATTTTTTTAAAAAAATATGTTCCCAATGTTTTGTCATCTAACTGATCCACAACCCTACCTCATTTTCAGGATTTCAGTGACAGAACAGAAAACGTACAACCCACTCCCCCCATTTTTCCAGCCCTCAAAACAATTGTCTTCTTTTCCATCAAAAATTCATGACAGGGATTTTGTTTATAAAAATGAATAAACCCTAATAAATTATATATGCCTCTGAGGCCTTGATATAAATACAATTTCTCTTCTCATGGGCTAAAGAAAAAAGAAAGAAGATGGCCTTATTTAATAGGTGAAAATATGCACAAACACATAACACAAACTGCTTTTTTCCCCATTCCTTGCAAAGTGGATATTGAATACATGAATAGCGGATTTTTTTCAAGGGTCGTTTCCCACCCACCCTCATCATAGATTTTTACTTCAGCCTATCTGAGGAGAAATCTTTGTTCAAACATTGGTCCTAGACTTTGAAACCCCTGCCTCCAAAACAGACTATCCTTTTCCACAAATTAAATTGCAGTTAAATTACAATCTCAGAACTCAGCCCTGGTAAGACCATTCTATCGCCGCTGCAGAGAATAGCCTGTTTTATTTTCAAGACCCTGTGCATATAGAGAACCAACATGTTGAGAGAAGAATTCAAGTTCTCCCTGATTCATTAATTTTCTCTGTTGAAGAAGGACTTTTTCCCTTTATGAGAAGCAGTCATGCATGTAACTAAGAAAACATGTCTGTGTGTTTGGGTAAAACACCCTGAGCACAGTTTCAAAAAGGGAAGGTTTTGACATCTGCTAACACACCAACAGAAGAAAAGCAAGAGGTTCTGACATCCTACCATTAGGCATCCTGTTCAAGGCTTAGCCCAGCTGCCAGGGCTTAAAACAGCAGGAATGGAAGTAATAGGAAGTATAGGATGTAGGAAGCTGATAAAGGCAATCCTTGGTTGAACTTCCCAACAACAATAAGGCCCTGTGACTTTCCCTCTTTAATTTGGCCCAACGTTAGCATAACAGAGGGGAAAATATAATTTAACC